TGTACTTCCTCCATCTGCCTGTTCTGTCCCCCACTCTGTCTCTGGTGAAGCCTCTCACCGCCCATGACTCTGGCCTGTACCTCAGTTCTTGTATGCAAAAATAAATACATCTTTATTAAAAAAAAAAACAACAAAAAACCATGCTTGGTTTCAAATCATGTGGGAAGGGAACCTGAACGTCTGGCCCTCGTCTTTCCTCTTGCTCAGTGTTACGTTGTGTGATGTGATGTTGCACTGTGTGTAACTCAGCTACACATACGGGAGCATCATCACACGCCCGGTATCCTGCTGGATACTGTCAAGGCTACAGGAAGAGTGAAGGACTCACTCCCCACACCACACACATTCCCCACATGCTCAGAGACGGGCCACGCTGGGAGACACACATGACTGGGTGGTCACGGCTGTGGGGCTCCATGGACTGTCCTTGCACAAACCTGGTGGTGCAAGAGCATACACGCAAGCTCCCCACAGGAGGCGTCACCTGCAGATGCACCACTGCCCTAAATGTCACCTGCCGCCATGAGTATTGTTTGATACACATTCGGCACACTTACACAGGCACAAATCCTGGAATCCAGCTGCTAGTGTTTACTACAGCCTAAATGTTCCCACCGACCCCAACCCCCCCACCCCGACCGCCAGCGTCCCCTCCTCCCCAGCTCCTGGCCCCCAGAATGGTCCTGTGTCTTCAGGGGTTGAAATCTAATCCCCTACATGCTGGTGTTAGCAGGGGGGACCTGGCGAGATGATGTCATAAACTCATGAATGGGATTAGTGCTCTTATGGAAGAGGCCCCTGGGGAGCTCCCTGGCCCACAGTGACTTGCCTCTCCACTGAAGGCTGCTTTGGCTTCTCACCTGCTGGAAGCAGGGTAGGGGTTTGTAGTTTCCTTTAAGCGGCACTGTGGCAAAGGATGTGGATAAGAGGTCAAGCAAGTTGGCCAAAGACTTGACCACATGCTAACTTGCAAGGGACAGTCCCAGGGTCCCCCCGGGGGCCTCTGAGATGCTGTTGAGAAGATGCATTTAAGGTGCAAGGTTAAGTACCATGTGAGGAGAAAAGTGCAATGTTGAAATTGAAGTCTTAAGAGAACAAGTCCAACCCCCTGCAGTGTGTTCCAGTTTCCAGGGTGCTGAGCAGTGCAGAAGGAGCTCCCTGCTCCCTCCAGCATTAGTTAAAAGACTTCTTTTGGGCTGGCCCGTAAGTGGGGTGAGAGGTGGGCTCCTGCTTCTCACTAGCAGATTCAGAAGCAGTGGTGAAATGAAGATATGATCTCTATCTGTCTATCTGTCTCTCTGTCTCTCTCTCTCTCTGTCTCTCTCTCTCTCTCTGTCTCTCTCTCTGTCTCTCTCTCTCTCTCACACACACACACACACACACACACACACACACGTACACAAACACAGAGCCTCTCTGCTCCATCTCTCGGCTCAGCCACGCAGCACAGTGAGGTTGAATTCTTGTGGCCAGACAGACTGTGAGGCTGGGAGTTTGTCTAAGAAGGTAGGAGAAAGGCTCAGCGTGTGGGATTTAGGAAACAAAGCTGAGTATGAATGGAAGCTGGCAGCCTGGGGGTGGTCACCTCGCTGTCTCCCACTTAGTGGATGCTCTTGCCCTTTCTGGTCCCATGAATCTCCTTATGGAGAAGGCCATGGCCACGTCCTCAGAATGTTTGAAAAAGCAGTAACAAGAGACACAGGCATTCAAAGGAATGGCTAATAACATCAGTTTGTGAAACAGCTGTACATGTATTTATTTATTCATTCATTCATTAACAGGGTTAAGCAAGGCATTTAATAAACACCATTGTTTAGAACTAGAGGTGAGCACAGACATCTGCAACAGCTGTGTGTGTGTGCGTGAGAGAGAGAAAGAGAGGAGAGAGAGAGAGACCTGGCGAATCCTTCTGTGGCTTAGCGAGTAGATGCCCACTCACAGGGAATACTAAATTTTAGTTAGAGGTCAGTGGAAATAAAGTCATAAGTTTTTGCCCTCCAGATCATGAGCTCCTTAGATTCTATCTAGGGATCCCTTGAAGGTGGGGGGGTTCCTGTAGACCTCAAGTTAAGAACCCCTGGGAAACTTCAAACCATTTTTGAAATGGTTTGAAAACTTCAACTTCGCACAACCATTTGGGGCCAGAGGTCAGTGTCCTGGGCCTGGTCTACAAATCCAAGGGGTTTTCCCTGCACTGCGTCTAGTGACTTCAGGGGATGGGGGCGGCTCTCCCTAGGCAGCTCTCCCTGTGTCCTCTAGGGGCCCAGCTGTCAGTGGCCACAGGACTCCAGAACCCAGTTTCCCAGCCACCCCCCCTCCGCCCTCACTCTTCAGGGGCATCTTCTGAGTCTTCCCCTCCCGGTCAACAGAGGGGTCCATCACCTGTTGCCACTTGCCCCCCAACTCCCTGCCTCCCTCCCACCCCACCCCTGCATCACCACCACCACCACCTTGTGAAATGTCAGATGCTGTCTTTTCTCTATTTACTCCATCTGGGTCAGGGACTGAATCAGCCAGAACACAATGGCAGCCAAGACAACACTGGGATCCCAGGGTCACCACATTCTAGCTACAGGCTCTGCCCCTGCTGTGCAAATTCTTGTCACCAAGGGAGACAGGTGAGGGACAGGAGGAATGATGGGGTCTCATGGATCAACAAATTCTTATTGCGCCCCTTCTGAGCTAGCACTGAGGTGCAAGAACATGGCCGACAATAAGCACTAATGGGAGGACGCTGGGACGTCTCTGTAGTCAGCAATGCTTACGGGGCACCTGCATGGGTCTTGGCACTGGGACTAAATATCATGGAAGTAAACACATAGGCACGATCACTTCCAATTGGAACAAACGCTATGGAAGAATCTGGGGAAGAGGAACGGAAGAGTAATGGGGAGGGGGTCCTCTGTTACATGCGGCAGCAAATAAAATCCTCTGTGAAGGGGACGTCTCAAAAAAAGAAATCTAAAGGCTGAGGAGGAGCCACCTGCGTGAAAGGGAGAAAAACGGGAAGGGTTGGTGTCTTCAAAAAGAATCAAAACATGGAAAAAGGCACAAAATGAGGTAAAAATAAACTATTATATTATTAAAAAAAAATCCAAACTCCAGAAGCTGACACTGCTGATGAAGAGGGAAGCTGGCATGAACTTGGACGCAGTGGTAGACACACCTGTCAACCAGCAGGGAGTGAGGTGGCTAACGGCAAGGACTCTAGAGCCAGACCAGCGTGGCTACAATCTGTTCCTGAGATTTGTTCTTGCTGTGTGACCTTGGGCAAGTCACTCAACCTCTCTGAGTCTTAGCTTCCTCATCTTCAAGCTGGGGGTCATCGTGGCTGGCCTTCACTGAGCTGCTAAACACATTAAGTCAAGCCCTCAGAATGGTGACACTTAATGGTTTGCTGTGGCTTGTTCCAAGTTTAATGACAAGTTGTGGAGGATTTTAAGCCCAAGAGAGGCAGGATCCAGTCTGTCTTTAGCAGATTTTTGGCCAGTGTGTGGGCTACTGGTTGTCAATAAGACAGAGAGCTGGAAGGAATCCCAGAGATCCTTCGCCAGAGGTTCTCTCTGGCATGGGGAGGGGAGAGCGGGGAGGGAGGACCACCAATGTGAAAGATAGACTGGGTCTTCCTGAAATGGGCTGGCTGGGAGCACCAGACAGGCAGCCAGTCACAGCCTCTGGGAAGGGTTCAACCAAGCCCCTTCCCCACCCCCATGCACTGGGGCATTCCCATTTCCACCTGGTCCCACTTCCAGATGGGTTCCAGTCCCCCAAGCCACTGCCCGGCAGACTCCTCTGTCCATGTCAATGCCGCTCGTTTTGGGTTGAGAGTGTCTCAAGGACAGCAGCCATTTCCTTTGCACTCTCACTAGGCAGTGACTAACACAGGCCCCATCAGCTGGGTCTCACAGCTTTTGAATAATTGATTGGAAGAAGGTGGCACCACGGTATTGTCATGCCCCCCTGGAACTGTGAACCCTCTAAGTAATCTCCAGGGCCTACTCCTCACATCACTCAAGCCTCACTCTCCCTCCAGGAGGTATTTTCACCTCCCCATGGGGAAGGCATCCTGGAGGCCTGCCTGGGCAGGGCTTTCTGTCCAAACCTCAAGCCCAGACCCCTTCTGCTCCACTGAACAATGGGGATCATCACCCATTTCCTGCTCAAAGGGATCCTGGGGACCAGCAGGTGCACGTGATAAAAGCCCTCCTTTCTCCAGAAGCATCTTCGGAGACATCTTCCCAGAAGCCCCTGCAAGGCCCTCTGGCTGACTGCTGGGAGGGGGCCAGGGTCCTTCGAGCCTCTCCATATTTACCGGCCATGCCAGGCACACCCTGCCCCAGGGCACCGCCCCTCCCCAACCCCACCCCCCAACATCTTGCCAACCTCCAGGCCCTCAGCTCCCACCAGGAATGCAGTCGCCTTCTTTCTGGCTTTTGGTGGTGGATGACCCCCTCTCAGCAATGTCAGCGCTTTCCCTGCACCAGCCCACCCTGGCCCCCCTCTTTCCTCGCTCAGGCACATCCCTCTTTGCTCCACAATTGTGCAGCCTTCTCATTCCGTTCGATTTCTCCGACCGTCTCCCCCAACCCTCACCATCCCCTCCCCCGGTCTGTGCACAGCCCCCTCCCCATACCCCTCCGAGTGCCCTTTGCACGTTTGGCTCACAGCTTCCCGGCCCCCTCACTCCCCCCAACCCCCGCCCGGCTCCCCCAAACCCTCCCCGCTCCCCGCCTTACTCAAGCCCAGCACCCCTGCCCATTCCTCCTTAGCGCAGCCCTCTCCATTCCTCTCAGTCCTCCCCAGCCTTCCCCCAACTACCCTCCCCCGCCCCTCCCCCAGCCCGGGCCTTCCGGACCCCTCCGTGGGTGCTCGCGTACTCGTTCAGTTCCCCCTCCCCGCCAGACTCGCGCGGGGAACAGCGGCTGCCCCCCTTCCCCCGCCTCTGCAGCCCGGGAGACACCCCCCCCTCGCACCTGAGACCAGGCGCCGCCCCCGCTCACCTGTTGGGCCGGCCGGAGCACGCCGGGTTTCGCCTTCTCGGGATCGAGGTCCCGATCCCGCTGCAGCAGCCTCTTCTTGGGGTGCAGGTGCCGGCACAGGCAGGTGACCCCGCACAGCGCCAGGATGCTAGTGGCGGTCCCCAGCGTGGCGCCCAGCGCGATCACCGGCACCGACAGCACCATGG